ATTAACTGGTCAAACTGACTTCTAAAGTTTTTAACACAGTCTACGTTAAATCGATAAATAAACATTTCAAGTTTGACTATAAAGAGATTAAAGTGTGCGCCTGACCCGGCTACGTATAGCACAGAGTTTATACTGGCGGATTAGACTAGTTCATTTTTTATATGTGTGTGAAAGCTTTCTCTTATTTGCGTTTTTTTCGTTTAGTACGGTTTTGTTATAACTGCCGAGGTCATATAACCGGGATAAAACAATGATTATCGTTGACTGCCCACACACAAAACATACGTTGAGTGAACAGTGTTATTACAAACAACAGGCTTTAGAATACAAAGCGTAGTGTGATAATAAGCTGCACACTACCACTGCTGCATCTACATATTACTAATTTACTAGGGCTCCCAAAGAGTGGATAGGGAGGTTGTGTTTGTCACTTTTAAATTTTACATTTCAAAATTGTCATTTTACATGTCATAATTTGCTGGTTTCATTCGTTTAGCCAATCAAAACATTGTAAAACAATAAATTGTCTGTTACGTACAATCAATTTTGTTCAGTTTTGATTAGTTGTCAGAATAAAGTTACGTTCATCTGAATCCATGTATGAAAACAAAAATCCTATTTTCACTTCAAAATACTTCAGTGAGATGAAGGCTCGGAATTGACACATGCAATAACTTATTGTCGTATTCGTTATTTTATCTTCTCGATAGTAGCATTTAGTCGCACATTTGATGCCAGGTCACCTTGTCGCGTACCTCTTGGGGAACCCCACATTTATGTGTGTACTCATGGAAGTAAATTCCCCGGTGTAGCCGAGAGCCACAAACTTTTCAACAGGTTCGAAATGACCAATTTCTCTCATATATACTCTAAATATTTTATTATTTAGCACCTACAAAGTATTGCTAATAACCATATGTAATTTCAATAAGGAAACTTATCTGGCTACATATAAATTCAATATCAACACTAGCTGTTCTCTCAACACGTCCTGGCTTACCTTGTGGTGACAAACCCTGGGTTTTCGCTATTTATAGTTTATCAACACCTGGACGCATGCGCATTTTATACTTTATCGGGCACTTTAAGCATTTCTACTCTAAACCTCACTATTGAAGTAGTTGGACTCAGATTTAAACTTGATTTTGATTTATTATATGCATAGTGCACACATTTAGCTCTATAGAAACCGTTGCTACACATTGATTCAATGTACAAGTAGATGGTCATATGGTGAATTTTGGGAGTTTAAAATCATGATTTAACTTAAATTATGATAAGACAATAATGTATTATTAATACTAATAAGGCCTTCTTATTGGTTTAAATACACAACCGTTTGTTAACAGAAACAGAGCACAGGAACATCAAACATTTTCAAATAATTGGTAAGTACAAATCAAGATACTAGTATTCTAGAGTAGTCGTTTCCGTCAACTGTCGCTACTTTCCGTCAAATCATCGTCGTATAATAAGTCACGTGAGAGGGTGCAGGCAGGTAGCAGGCAAGGAGGAATGTTAGGACCACGAGACAGGCGTCTTTCCCCATTAGAATCAATGTTAAATATATAGCAGGAGTAGCAGGAAAAAAAAAAAAGTACTCCAAAAAACCTTACACTACTACTGTATAGAGGTAAAGTTGAAATTAACTCCAACCTCGGACGCTTTCCGCTTGATGTCGCACACAGATACCACTTACAAGATAGAACTGCAAGATGTGTACCTTAGAATGTCCATGGTTTCTATCTCTCCCGGTATCCTACAATCCTACGACAAACATCTTAAAGACAAGAACGCCCTCTATTCTTACGAAAGAAACGATTTCAAATGCTACACTATCCCCGCCGGACAGTTACAATTCAACTTCAACGACCTGTACAATGGTGAAGTTCCGACGAAAGTGGACTGTTTTTTCGTCAGCTCACAATCTCAGAGTGGCTCTTATAAGAAGAATCCCTTCAACGCGCAGTCATTTTCGTTGGACTATCTGGATTTGCGACTTGACGATCAGAGTGTCCCCGAAAAGGTCCTAACGCCCCATTTCGACGCTTCTAATTCTAGAAAAAGTAACACTGTTCGTGAGTTTTTGAGATTGTTCAAAGACAAAGATATAAATTTGTCCCGGGAAGAATTCTCGCAAGGCCACGCCTACTACAGATTCGATATCCAGTACACGGACAGCCACAAGTCGGCAGAGGAGACTCTTACCCTTATAAGAAGGGGAAACGTGAAGTTGGAGGGTCATTTTCAAGAAGCGCTACCGGAACCAGTCAACCTCATCGTTTGCGGTAGCTTTCCGCAAATTTTCGAAGTGGACGCCTCGAGAAATATCATTCTCAACTGACGATATGGACGGCTTGACCTTAGAAAGGATGTTGATATCAGACCCTTACACTAAACAGATATTCGAAGGAGAAGTGGCCAAGGATGAACTGCAACAATATTTTGGAACAAGTAATGGCTTGATTGTGTCAAACACAGCAAGAAGAAGTGAGCAAGGGAAACACTGGGTAATTTTCAACAATGGATCAACATCCTTGGAGTTTTTCGATTCTTTAGCTGAAAAACCTGAGCACTACGGAATGGAATTTGAACGTTTTGTTCTAGAAAATACATCTGACAAATCGTTGAAAACAGTACCCTTTCAACTACAATCGACAAACACAGACACGTGCGGATATTATCGCTTATATTTCGCATTTATGAGAAGACGAGGATATTCTTTCGAGATAATTACGGACAGATTTAGTAAAAATATTTTAATGAATGAACAACTGGTCGTAAGAAGAGTTAAACAATGGTTTAAATATAAAGCTAGGGACCAGTAGATTATACTACTGCCTTATTATGTATATTGAACGCTTAAATGTTTATTGGTTCTTTATAGTGTGAATAAAATACATCAGCTACATATTGAATACTTTTTGTTTTGTACAACTTGATTTACCCACAAATAAAAAACGTCCTACCGGTTAACATTTGGGGAACGATAACGAGACGCTAAGTAGAATTCGGCGGACGGGGGCCCGGAGGGCCCCGTCCGCCGAATAACGGTTTCGGAGCCACCCGGTGAAGGGTGACGTAGTTCGCGCGCGCTAGTCTACGGGGTCACGGGGGGTACCCCGTGTATCGCTATTCGTAGACCCGGAATCGCTAATTCGCGGTCTCATTCTTCGATAATAGATATCTCTTAAAGATCGGAAGAACGCAAAGGGCAAAGTACACCCCGTATAAGTAAATCATACTCTCCCGTATATTTTTCGCTATCTGGAAGTAAATACGATAAATAGCTCGGAAGAGTCCGGGTAAATCATCGAAAAGCACGAGTAAATAATATAGATAAATATCCCGCGATATTTATCTTTATTATTTACTTATAGATAATTATTAACGCGAGGTAAATGAAACGAAGATCCGATATAACAGATCGGTGCAGATTATTTACTTAGTTTATCGACTAACATCGCCTATTTATCTCTATTATTTACCTCCGACGGTCTCGGGTAGATCTCGTTACAGGGTGACGCAAAAATAACATCCACCTTACATTATATTACTCTGTCTATTAACGTATAGACTCGTCCTATATAACATAATTCCTACTGTCTACTTGTCCTATATGACATCCATTCTGCGTTACCAGTTTATAGCGTAACATAAGTCGATGCTGAGTCGAATCAACCAGCTGAGAAAATCACTGTTTTGACATTTTTTGTGTCACCCTGTACCTCAGCAAAAAATTTTCCCTCAGCATTTCCTTCTTTGTTTTTTTATATAGAGATAGCGCCCCAATATATACTACTTCTCTGCCCTGGCTCTTTGTTAAGTAAACCAAAAGGACTGGTTGTATTAAGGGACCATCTATGCATTATGTTCAGTCATGTTTTCAGTATTATCATGGGTTTTAGGCTGTAGTTCAAGGAGGATTGGCTCCCAGAATCGAAACTTGATATTTTCCAACAGTGAAAACATCAAATTGTTGTTATTTTCTGAAATTATAACCGACTATAAATTCAAAATAAAAAGTTCAAAATATTCTAACTAAAATCTCGATCATTTCTTGTGAGTTTTGGAATTTTCCTTTAGGAAATAAGACCAAAATTCATGATTCAAATGTTGAAGTGAACAAAATCACAGCTGTTTGAATTCAAATTTTGTATCACGACATGCTCGTATATGGGACAGAATATCTATGTTGCATTCTGGGAGCCAATCCTCCTTGATTGAGTTCATATGTTGTTCTTTCTTAAAAAGGACTAGAAGGAATGATATAGAGTCTAAAATGTTGGAAGCAGTCCTTATTTAATTTTCTAAAAAAGGAATTGAAATATATGAAGATTTAAGATGTCCTATTTTTGATTGGTTTGCCAGACAATCTTAGAAATCAAAGGTTTATCCTGAAGTAAAGCCAGAACTGTTTGACTATTGAGATATTGGGCATGACATGGAATATTATACTTTTATTTATTTTTATATGTAAATGATGGCCAACCTATAATGCCGACATGGCTATTTGGTGGCCGATAATGTACAGTGTATTGTATTTACACTATAAAAAAAAATTGAATGATTGGAGCAAAATAATTTTTCTGAAACTTAGTCTCAATTGGTTTGCCAGACAATCTTAGAAATCAAAGGTTTATCCTGAAGTAAAGCCAGAACTGTTTGACTATTGAGATATTGGGCATGACATGGAATATTATACTTTTATTTATTTTTATATGTAAATGATGGCCAACCTATAATGCCGACATGGCTATTTGGTGGCCGATAATGTACAGTGTATTGTATTTACACTATAAAAAAAAATTGAATGATTGGAGCAAAAATAATTTTTCTGAAACTTAGTCTCAATTTGTTTCTATCTCTCCTAGTCCCTTTTAACAGCATGACTGCCCATCTTTTTATAAATATTCTTTTTATCACCCAAACCCTGTATTATGCTTCCTTCCTGAAAGTAAAATATCTGAGTAATGTTCTTTTTGTGTTCTTTCCTGCAGCTTGCAGAGGAGGCAGGATTACCAGCTGGGGTGTTAAATATTGTGACATGTTCACGTAGCAATGCACCAAAGGTTGGCAAGCTACTCTGCGAGCACCCTCTGGTGGCAAAAATATCATTCACAGGATCGACTGCAACAGGAAAGGTATGACCTTATATGGATATTAAAGTGGCTATAATTGGAAAAACTCAAAAATAACATGGCAAGCTGATCGTCTATGAAGTTACTGAAATTGTCTCATTTTTTGTTTCCGAGAATATCTAAGCTTCAAAATCTGCTTTGACATCGACACAGTTGAAATATTTTGTAACACCATGCAGAATTTGCTGATGAATTTGTGCTGATTTTGTGCTGATTGAGGATTAGGGGTGTAGAGTTTAAGCCACTCTAAGTCTGTGTTCATTTATACCATAAGTGCAGTAGGTGCCTAAAAGAAATTTCAAAATATTAGATCAAAATACTTCATAATGTGGTGATAGAACAAAATCTTCTACAAACATGAGGCCTGAAATAAATATTTTTGCAATTTCAGATCTTGTTGAAGCAAGCTGCGAATGGAGTAAAGAGAGTTAGTATGGAGTTGGGAGGTAATGCTCCATTCATTGTATTCGATAGTGCTAATGTAGACGCAGCAGTAGCAGGTGCCATGGGATGTAAATTCAGAGTTAGTGGTCAGGTAAAAATCATTATTTGAATTTCTGAAAACTTCATCTTCCAAATTCAGATTACCAGCAGGGCTACAAAATCTAGAAGAGCTTCTTTTTCCCTAACCAATCAAATCAGAACAAAGGTTGAAACCAGCCAATCCTGATATATTCAATGGTCTGCATCTCTATAATTCATGTCTTTTGACGATGGATTGATATTTTCCATAAACCAGTCTTGGGAATATCCCATGCTAGGTATTTCTGTGATTAGAAAAATGAATTTGCTTTTTATTTTGTCACCACCAAAAGTGGAACATACTGTTATGGACATTTTTGTGATGGCATTCAGCATCTGTAACAAATGGGAGGTGGTGACATTTTGTATGCTAATGCCTTGCTTCAGATATGTATCACTCGCTCTTTCCACATTCTCTAAATTATAATAATATCATCTACATGTAGTTTCTATCCATTTCTTTCAGTATTTTGTTTTTTTCAATTTTCAGACTTGTGTATGTGCCAACAGGATACTGGTGCAATCAGGCATCCACGATAAATTTGTTGAAAAACTTGCTGCAGCAATTAATGGACTTAAGATAGGAGATGGTTTCCAGGCTGACACCACTCAAGGTCCACTAATTAACATTAATGCTGTTGATAAGGTATGTGAATTAAGTTTGTACCTTATAGGAAATTAAAGAGATTTTTCCATGTGTCAAATTCAAAGCTGAAAAGGAATTCTAGAGATTATTTCAGTAGGAATTTCCTGTAAGAAATTCCTGGGATTTTTTCCTTTGTCATTTTCGTACCTTATGAGGAACTGTAGAGTCTTATCCCGTTGCATTTATTCTATAATAGTGGATCAACATTTTTAGATTTGAAGAATATACTCACTTTACAAGGTTAGTTTATTTTAAATGAATACTTGCTATTTTTCAACGCTTTCTATCAATGCTTAAATTATCCTTCCATTTATCATAGGTTGAAGGGCATGTGAAAGATGCTGTATCTAAGGGTGCAACTGTTGTCACAGGAGGTCAAAGGTCAGACCAAGGGTGCAACTTCTTCCAGCCTACCCTCCTAACAGGGGTTAATACTGATATGAGAGTCAGTAAGGAGGAAACTTTTGGACCAGTTGCTCCAATTCTAAAGTAAGCTTTTGAGATGTCATTTTTTATTAGCCCCCAACCTCTACAAAGTGAATGTATTAAAATTACATTGAGCCATTGAAATGCCCACTCGTGTCTCTGCCCATCCTTCCATTCATGCATCTGTCTGTCAACAATTTTTGAAGACATGATTTTAATTCATTAGAACTCAGAGGACAGAAATATGCTGCCAAGTGGTGTTCAGCGTTCAGCATCTGTAACAAATGAGAGGTGGAGACGTTAGGCAGGTGGTGACATTTTGCATGCATGGGGTTGGGGAAAAGTAGAGTCATTTTGGATTATTCTAATGTTTAACTGTATGTGTGTATATTCTAGGTTCAACACTGAGGAAGAAGCTGTCACCATTGCCAACTCATCCACATCAGGCCTTGCAGGTATTATAGATTATTAACCGGAAGGGATCAAATATGGGTTTTATTTCTATGGTCAATATGATCTTGACTGATGCGTAATCTGATTGACTTAGTGAATGACTGTCATTTGATTATAAAAAAGTATTAAACATAAAATTTTGCCTTCATTGAAGAAAAAAGTAATTAAGTTTACTGATCCTTTAAGTTAATTGTTGTCAGCATGAAAATCCAGATCAGTGTTTGGCTACCAACCATATTTTCTAATTTTCTAAACAATTGCTATTATTTTTATTAATGTTTCAATTTTCCTAGACAATCATGATTTATATAAACAGTAAAGTTTATTATGATAACAGTTGCTTTTATTGGTCAAACTGAAATATTCCTGGAGGCAAATGCCAGCATTTCATGTTTTATCTTGCTTGAAAATCATGAATCGTTTATTGTTCTAATCAATATTATTGGAAACGTTTATGACACGCTTGCTGCTTTGTACTTGTATTGTTCGTTTATCACAGGCTGGTATCGAAAGATTTGTCCGCTGTGACGGAGCATATTATTCTTTATAAAAACACTAAGAATACTTCCCAATTTATTTTTTAACTCATATGTTTCATTATATCAAAGGAAATTACTTACTCCATGCAATCGATATATCATTTTCGAGTAACGTTCACTTCTATTTGAAGTCCCATAACGCTAGGAGTAAAAGCTATTGAAAACGGTGCCAGAGTTTCAAACTCTAAAATGTACCATTTCTTTATGAACTTTTTAATGGCATGATATAGTGACACAATAATATTTACATATGTTTTCAGCATAACTCTGAAGGTAATAATGAAATATTGATGTATTGGGTCTTTTTAATTTTTTTATAAAAAAAGCTTAATATTTTGTCCGCTGTGACGGAGCAGTTGCAAATATGAACTGTTGAACTGCTCCGTCACAGCGGACAAAAAAATCAAAACATTATTTTTTATAAAAAAAATTAAAAAGACCCCATACATCAAGATAACTTTAACACATTCAGAGTTATGCTGAAAACATGTGTAAATATTATCGTCTCACTATATCATGCCATTAAAAAGTTAAAAAAGAATTGGCACATTTTAGCCTATGATACTCTGGCGCCGTTTTCAGTAGCTTTTCTTCCTAGCGTTATTGAACTTCAAGTTGAAGTGAAGGTTACCTGCAAATGATATATCCATTGCATGGTGTAGGTTGTTTTCTTTGATATAACAAAACATATGAGTTAAAAAATAAATTGTGAAGTATTCTTAATATTTTTATAAAAAATAGCATGCTCCGTCACAGCGGACAAATCTTTTGATACCAGCCTGTGTTTATAAGTTCCTGATTTATGCCACAATTCTTAAATAAAGAAATCACTCTCTTTTATTCTGGAGAATATTTTGGCTTCTATCAAACAACTATATGTAACTAACCCTATCTGTACAGGGTGATCCAAAAAGGTAACCCACTATATTGGAAGAAGTTTGTCCGTAGTGATGGAATCTTCTCAAATTTACTTGTATAAATTGTTCATACATTTGATTGATCTTAGAATGCCTTTTCAAATGTCATGTTCCGTTAATTATCAAAATAGTTACCTTATCTTCCATTCGTGCTATTTGTTTTGTAACTTTTCGGCGGCCATCTTGCATTCTGGTGGCCATCTTGGAAGTTTTTTAGAAAATATTTTTCATCGCGATTCTAGGAAAATCACTTAACGAATTTACTTCAAATTTTCACACATGTTACATGGTAAGAAGTTCTGGAGCTGATTAACTTTTCGGTAGCCATCTTGCATTCTGGCGGCCATCTTGGAAGTTTCAAGATAAATCTTGTCATCGTGATTCAGGAAAACCACCCAACGGATTTACTTCAAATTTTCACACATGTTACGTGATAGAAAGTTCTAGAGCTGTTTAACTTTCGCTCATCTTTCTGGCAGCCATTTTGGAAGTTTTTAGATAAATCGCGTCTCACTTCAAAATTCCAGAAAAACCACTTGATGGATTTACCTCAAATTTTCATACATGTTACAAGGTGAGACGCTCTAGAGCTGATTAACATTTCGGTGGCCATCTTGCATTCTGGCGGCCATCTTGGAAGTTTTTAGATAAATCTTGTCATAGTGATTCCAGGAAAACCACTTAACGGATTTACTTCAAATTTTCACATATTATACGTGGTGAGAAGTTCTAGAGCTGATTAACTTTTCGGCAGCCATCTTGCATTCTGGTGGCGATTGTGGAACTTCTTAGATAAATCTTGTCATCGCGATTCCAGGAAAACCACTTAATGGATTAACTTCAAATTTTTACACATGTTACATGGTAAGAAGTTCTTGAACTGATTATCTTTTCTGCAGCCATCTTGCTTTTTGGGTCATCAAGCCCACACTGCTATGTTTTAGGTACGATATTGTTCACCCTGTGCCTTGTTTCATAAAAAACACACAATGGCCTAAATTAGACATTTCATAAATAATTTAGTCTGGGCATATTACAAGGAAACAGCCTTTATGAATTATACAATAAATTAAAACATTGCTCAAGGAAAGTTTTTTTTGTTTTGAAATTGACATATTATCTCAGATAAAGAAAACATGAATTGAACCAAAGGTAAACATATTATGTGCTCGGTAGACACTCCTGCAGTCACAAAATATAGATCACATTTTGTCATTCAAAAAGTCAGCAGTGTAATCTATGTAGTGTGTTCCTGCTAGGGCCTGGCACCTTGATTAAAACCCTTTCCAATATAATAGTTCAATTTTTTTCTTCTTTAAAAGAGAGCTTCGTCTTCACTCTTAGAGGTAAAGATCTAGCCTTACCCAATCTGAATATGACCCCTCAGAATTCAACTCCCCAATCAAAATACATCGTCGGTTCCCACGCTCAATCACTAGGTCTGAAGCTTGATGAAGCAAGATGTCAAAATATGGGATAGACTAGGCATCCATCTATTGGTCCGTCTGTTTTTCATTTATCTGTCCAACTAATCAATTGTCAACATTGGTGATACAACATTATTGGTATCTGGATGTAACTACATTCAGTCTATCTATAGCTTCAATTACTTCTGTATTTGATCAATTCTTTGTTCAAAAAATAAACTTTAGGATCGAAAAGAGAAGGAAAAAATTTGGATTGAAACATTGGCATGGTTTTTGAAAATTTTACTCAGGATAGACTATCCTATTGGCATTGTTTTCAAAGATTGCTTCAAACATTTTAAACTCCGTATCCTTTCTATTTCATTTGATATTATACCCAATATATCATCAATATATAATCAATGTAATTATAAACGTGACTCCTCTTTGCTCGTTTGTTTATGATACATATTTAATCATGTGATCATTCACCAATAATTGTATCACTATGGATATTATTTTATTGTGTACAATACGGAACAATCAAAAGAATAATGTTGTCTATTCTACAGAAACACCTGTGTTTTTTGACAATAATCTATTTGGAATACCTCTCAATGTGTTTTATTCTCATATTGACTCCCTTAGCTTAAATAAAAACCTTTTCTACTTGAATATTTTATTTGCAAATCCAAACACTTTGGCTAGAGTGGCATTTGGATTTTACCGTATAATTACCATAACTAATTTCATCATGGGTTAGTTATAGGGCTTGTTATGACTTGTGTACTCTTCTTTATCGTATGATCTGTAAAATGAAGCCTTCTGATTGGTCAGTTCTTGTGCTGTACAAATCTGTATTGCTACTGAGATTGTTCCCATTGATCATCTCTGTCGCAATACAGAAAATATTGGTACGGAGGGGACATTCTCAGTAGCAATACAGAGGATCACATGATAAAGTCGTTATAGAATGATATTTGAAGTGCAATACAGGATGCTCTCGATATTCTGTATTGGCACTCGACTTTGTCTTGTTCCAATATGGAATTTTTCGAGCAGAATATATCCTGTATTGCACTTCAAATCATTCAATAACATTTAATAAGTCCTTTCTATTTGGCACTTGTGTGTACATATTCATCAAACATTCATCTTGTCTACAGTATATACTGTAAAACATGTTAAATTCGCGAGCATCTTGAATTCGCGTATATTCGCGTCTGTGTAAAATCGCGAATTCAGGATCCCGCGAATTAAAAATTGGACATCACATTTTTCCTGGGTAACGTGAATTAAGAATAAAATATACTAATATACAATATTTCTAAATATGTTTTTTATTCCTCTTATTTAAGTGTTGTATGCAATTATAAAACAAACGTAAAAACAAACTTAGAAGTTGAATTATATTTGTCTATTGCAATACTGCATGCTATGTTTTAAACAATAAAACAACTGTACTTTATGAAGTAAGTTAAAAACAGCGTTATTTGTTTCAAAATACCATCATAAAACTGTCATAATTGTGTTCAGGTAAAACTATAAAGTAATGGGTTATGAAATCGTCATTGTAATAATATAAGTTAAGGTAAAATGTTGAAATTATTCTATCCCCTGGGACTTGATTCCTCCATTCACACATTCCAATCAACGGGTATTAACTCATGACAAGAAAGTTTGTATGTTTATTCCTAGGATTATATTTATAATTAACCTATCATGAGTTTTATTTTCATTCGAAAAACAACAGGTGGCAATCGTATCGTGTTAATTAATAAGATAATACCCCAAGATACAACCAATTAGAATAAACAATCATATCTTACACGAAACAGGTTTTATTCCTTTTCACATTTCAATGCAATATTTGACAATTAACTTTGTTAACATTTATTTTACAACACAGAATTGATTTATTATTCGCAAATGTACAAATCCGCGAAAATTGCTCCCGCGAATTTAAAGTGTTTCACAGTACTTAGTTAATAACTGCTCAAGTATAAGAATAATGGTATTGAATTTAATTGTCTTAGAACTTTCCTTGAATGGTGTAAATTATTGGCTATCGCTATATGACTTCAAAAGATTGTACCTTGAAGCAGAATTATGTTCACAAATTCAATGCTGGAAAAATATTTATACATTAAATATGTATGAACTTTTTGACTTCAGTGGTATTGTGATAATATGTATCAATAACAAGTAAACATTTTGTTACTTGATGTTATATATATTGTATTATGTTACCAATTATCCCAAAATTAATTAGAGCAACAATTATTGATTGACTAATTAATGTTATATAAGCAATGTCTGAAAATCTCAAATGAATATTGAAAATGTATTTAAATAAACTTAAAATACATTAAAACAGAAACTTTGTAAGAAAACTAAAGGGAATCTCTTTATCACTTTTACATTGGCAAGTTCAATAATTATTTGAGTCCTGATTTAAAACACGACTGATGTTTAAAATGTCTTCACCAAAATATTGTTCATAGCTTCAGATAAAATATTTGCTATGTGGTGCCAGTCTTGTCTTTTATTGACTCTTATGTAATAACGATGAAATAATGCTCACTACTTGGGTTAACTAAAATGACAAAACTTACTCCAAAAAGACAAATCCATTGTCATAAATACAATATGAAATTTTTTCTTTTCAGGCTATTTCTTCTCACAAGACATGTCCCAAATATGGCGTGTCGCAGAAGCGATGGAGGTAGGAATGGTAGGAATAAACGAGGGCATAATGTCTACAGTGGAGGCACCTTTTGGTGGCGTGAAGGAATCTGGTATCGGCAGAGAGGGCTCAAGATACGGCATCGATGAATACACTGAGATTAAATACTTATGCTTTGGTGGAATACAGTCATAGGTCTAAAAACAAGGTAGCTCTAGATAAGTGCATGAAGAGTTACTTGTTAGAACTCACAGACTGTTTATTGTTGTATTCAGAAACTAACATAGACTCTTAATTTTTTATTGTTAACTACTACACAATACAAGCTCGTTGCAGTATTACATGCATTAAAGAGAAGAGGACTGCTAAGGTTCATACTGTGATAATAAGATAATCTACTTACTTTAATTCTTAGTATAAAAAGGACTAAAGGAATGGATAAATGGAACAATTAAATATGATTTTTATTTAATTCTTAGCATATAAAGGACTAGAGGATCGGATATGTGAAAAAACGAAATATTAAGTTTAGTTAATTCTAGTCAATATTCTAACATGGTATACATCAGGAATTTAAATGATACTGGAGAGGTTAAGATAATATGTCTGTCTGTCAGTCTGTCCATCAGGCTGTCAACAATAGTGGCATCTTTTGAAGCCTCTGCTGATAGGTTTCCCGTTTTAAGTTATTTTTGTTTAACATCAATACAGAAAACCCTTTATGGCTCCCAGCTCAAAAGCTCGCCTATTTTTAATATGGCCACCATTTTTTTCTAGCAAAATTCACTTTAAGCAGCTTTATAAATTATCTCCGGTATCTTACTTTGTAAAAAGCCATGTCGTCACTGTAAAGAGTAGTTCTATGAAATAATTTTGTGACAAAAAAATTATATTTGCTTTTTTAGTTGTCTTTCTCTCTTTGAGCAACAACATGTGAGCCCAGTACCCATGGTACTATTTATTTTGTTTATGTAACCATGAAAGACAGACCCAGGAGCCCAAGCAACCTATGTTCATTTTCTGAAGGTTTTTACAGGTACATACCACATTCCTTTGTTTGAGTTCAATGTAACACCCTGAGGTACTAAAATAGAACTTGCAAATTAGTCTTGCCTGAACCAAAACATTGACAGAAGTTAACATTTGACCTACCCTCTAATATCTCCATGGCAACATTGTAAAAATCATAATTTACATTGTGCGAAATAAACCAGTGCGAATCGACCCATCCACAAAGAGTAAATAAGTCAATGTATAAATTGCCCTTGAAAAAATAATGTAAGAGATATATTTATATAAATATACCATACTCTGTTTCCTAAATGTATGTCATGTTAGACAAATGATATTTAAAAATTATATGAATTATGAATAAATGGTGCACAAGGTACCTAGGTGATTATTGTTGTTTATGATGGCATCATAATCTCAATGATGAAAAAACAATGAATATAAGGATTTCTTACATGTAGTTCACATTTGTTTTAAAGATAGGCCCCAGGTTGGGTCTAATGATATACCTAGTGAATTGTACTTACAGTAAATCGAAGTGTAACATAATTTAATATGTGCCATAATAAAATCAGTATTTTCTAATTTTCATATTGTGATTCAGTAAAATTTAGCTTTCCTTATAAAGGAGCATTAGTTACGTCACCGCCAAGAAGTGGTGACTTCTCAGGCCCGTAGCCAGAATTTACCAGGAGGTGGTTTTACCAAGGGGCAGCTTTTGTCCAAGGGGGAGCTTTTTGACATTTTTTGGCAAAAAATCATGCGAAAAGTGCTGAGAATGGTGAAAACTGCATGATTTTGAAAGAATTTCTAGCCGAGGGGGGGGGCTTCCTCCACTCCCCCTGGCTATGGGCCTGCTTCTTTCACCACCAAAAGTGGTAACATTTTGTTATAACTACTGTTATTATGACCAGCCGTCAGTGGTCTATAATTGGCATCAATTTTGGTGGTCACTATTGAGCATCTGCAACAAAATATTACACTTTTGTAACTATTTTCAATAACTTAACTAGGTAACTAGGTAGTGATATTTTGTCATGTTAATGCCTTATTTCTATTTTGATTTGTTTTTTGATTAGGTGCTTGTAAATGTTTTATACAATACACAGTATTGATTAGTGTTGATTACCTTAGAAAGGTACAGTAGTGTAAAAAGTACATGTAGTAATATATTTTTAATTTTTAGAAAACGAGCAATTATATGTATAAAAATATATCAATCAGGAAGTAATGCAATAAATCAAATAATGTATGCATCTATTTGTGTTGCCTTTATTGGGATTTAGATCAAAATGCCAATGTCTTATTGTTTGGTATGAGTAAGTAGATAGAGACCTTTCCAGTCCCTTCTAAATGGACAATGAAATGACGTGAATTGATATTGAATTTCAATGTATTTTTTACAGTATTGATCTGGTATTGTATAGAAAAAAGTCAGTGACCTGTCACTGGCGGATTAAGGGGGGGGGGGCCTGGGGGCCCGGGCCCCCCCCCTGGGTGGGCCCAGAAAAAAAAATTGGGCCCAAAAAAAATTTTGGGCCAAAAAAGGCCTTAAGGCCCCCAAAAAGTCGGCCTTTTTGGTCATTACTTGGCCTTTTAAGGCCTTATTTTTAAATTCAGGCCAAATTTTGAAGAAAATGGGCCTCAAAATTTCAAAAGTTGGGCCCACTTTTGCGTTTTAGGGGCCCAAATTTTTTTTCCGCGCAAGCGGGGACGTTTTTTTCCTCTGACCTGAAATTTGGGCCCCCCCCTTGTTGGTTCCCAGATCCGCCCCTGCCTGTGATAGGTGTGGGAAGTATTCCCTATATAATTTTGGTACCATGATAAAGATTATTATTCATGGATAAAGGCAATAATGTTAAATCAAAGTAAAATTACATCTGCTACCATGGAAACATGCGCTTAGCAATTGTTATCCTAAATGAGAGTAAAATATACTTTATAGGAAATATAACAGTTGCTTGGTGAGACCCTTTCGCTTATTTACTTCTAAACAACTTTGTCACTTGGTAGTTCATGTTTCAAAATATTCTTGGCCTTAATGTAACAAAACGTTATGTAACTGAAGTATCATGTTTTGTTCTATAGTAATTGTAATTAACTCTATAGATTGAGACTGCCTGTGGTAAACAATACTTTCTTAGAACGCTAAGGCCGTTGAAGGATAGATATACATGTGTACATATTTGGATTCACATAATTAACAATGGCATACAAATATCTGGTTCATTAATATATCGAAATCGACTATTTCTCTATAGGTAATTATGATCATATTATGGGCGTAGCCAGCTTTTGGTCGGGGGGTGTGACCACCAAAAAAAGTCAGTCAGAGGGGGGTGCGATCGTGGCATAAGAGAGCAAATTTTTTTAGAAACTTATAAATTGATGTAATTTCCTTTAAAATTGAGCTAGAAGCTTCAAATAAAAAGCATTTTAAAGCTCCTTTCTTATGGTTCTATTCTTATTGATTGGTTATGGGGTAGGTGTGTTCTCACCGATCGTACCCCCTGGCTACACCTATGCAGATGATAAGGGCCTTGTTGTTTTGGAATTTCATCAGCTGTTCATATTTCATAAGGAAGTCAAGTTGCAATTCAGTATTTCAAAGAATATATTTGAAGAGGTTATTTAATAGGAGGGGAGGAATATGGATTATACTCAGAGAGATAATTTGTTTATAGCCTTATATTTAGCTGAAGTATTTCACAGAATCAATTTGCAGAGGTTATTTAATAGGAGGGGAGGAATATAGATTATATTCAGAGAAATAATATGTTTAGCCTGAATCTCAGATTTAGCCCAAATAGGAATTTGATACGTTTTAAGGTCAATGTTATTATGGTGATTCTCAGTAATCTGTTAATTGCATTTAAAGTGCTGATTAAGCTCACCACTGAACCTAAAAATAGGGCTGCCCAACTGAGTTTTGTGTCCTATAGTTGTTTTGACTTACATTATAAATGAAGGTCTGCGATATGGGCTTTTGGCTGTTATATGGGATTTAGATATCAATTTTATCACCTCGTTAAACAACGTTTTGGGGGAAATAATAAAGCCATAAGTCAATCTGATTGTCTATCCTGGCAAATAAATCAAATACCATTGAAGTGATTTTGTTCATATTTCGTATCTGAATAATAAGATATCACATCATTTTGAGTAAAACTCTTTATCTTATTGAGATGTTTAAATATCAACAACACTGTGATGTAACTGGAGTCTATTCCACCCGGCCTCTCCCATAGCTTTTAATAGGAATGGAATACGACTATTAATAGATACTTATGATAAAGACTTATGCTTTTTCAACACCATTGTATTAAATAGTCATGGATGTATCTGAGCAAAGTTCCATAAGATATATTGACGTTGACAACCTATATTTGCATCTGGGAAAGTTGACACAAAATATTCAAGTAGCTGATAATCAATTAAAAATCCAATAAATATATCTTCAGAGGAAAGCAGTGTAATGGTATACTCTGAATTTGTGACTTATGTACATAGTATATATATATCACCAAGCCAATATTTAGTAAACAATTTTTTATGTACTTGGGGATTGTGTCAAAACCTTACCCCTATGACATTTTGTCATGTATTAAGTACTGAAGTTGAAGAATCTGATCTATAGGGGGTGACAAAATTACAAGCAACAAGTATAATTGACCTACCAATCTATTCCTTACAATATCAAATACAATATCTCCCAAAAGATTCACAATACGTTATAAATTGGTGAAGTTATTAATGATTCAAAGTGCAAAAATGAGTGAAAAATGTTTAAATTCTCCCAAATAATAAGAATGGTAACCATTGTTATAGAAAAATAATACATTGTTGTAAAAATCTTTAGTTTTCCTGGAATAAACTATGCACTTTTGTGATTTTTAGAAAAAAGACATGACAAGGAATGACACGAGCCAGAAATTTTCTAAAATTGTAGCAATTTTTTGTTTAGCCTGCTCGCAATGTCTGATTCTCTCTTAAAGTTCTCTAGGATTTAATAGAATGAGTAGATTTGCCATTTTGTGAAGATTAACATTAAGACTGATTTCTGAACTCACATTTTTGAATGCAATTCATGGAGATTCCAGAGTTAGTAGTAAAAAAGATTTAAAGTGTCAGGCCAGAGCCAGGATTTGCCAAGGGATTCACTTTTTATTAAAAAATTCCAAGGGGGGGGCTCAAAAATGCCCCAAATCACTTGAAACTGCTCAGAATGGTGAAAACATAATTTTGAAAAAAAAAATTTGGCCAGGGGGGCACTTTTGGCCAATCGAACCCCCGATCCCCCCTGGCTACAGTTAGTTTGAGGGTTGCTTTTTCTGCTGATCCACATGCCAATTATTTCAATTTTATTATCAGTGTAGAAAAGATTGGCACCTCAAATTTTTCCAAAAGTGTTGTGCTGGACATTACACGCTTTGTACTCATAGCTGCAGTCATTCAAAAGGCAGAAGTATGTGCACTGATAGCATAAGTTCTTCTGTCAGATATGTTATTTCCAGGCATTCTGACATTGTCATTTTCATGTTTTCCTGTTTCAATTAAAACATCATCTCATGGCTAAGAAGATATAAGATGTCCTGGTTTATCATGATGACTTCCTGGGCTTTCAAGTTTCTATGGTTATTTCAATTACAAACAATAGTTTCTACACATCAATGTGTCACCAGAAGTCATTATCACCATCCTTGATTTCTGATTATCTGTTGCGTTAATGGGTATCAAGACTTTGAAAGTGTTCTGTTTATGGAGGTGTGTCACTTACAGAGGTGTTCCACTTTACAGATTTCATTGTAATTATAAAAAATTATCTTTTTCATACAGTATCAGCAATTTGTATTCGGTGGAGTTTCATTTCAAGTCAAAACAAAATTAATTAAAATGATGAATACTAATTTATTGATATATCCCAACATAGTTTTATTACAATT